TAAGTTGATTCTGTATGTAAGTCAGAACTGGCAGTCAGTTTCAGCAGCGGCTGAATCTGGACGCCAGTTCTGATTTATATACAGATTCAACTTAAGAACAAACCTACAGTCCCTATCTTGTACGTAACCCGGGGACTGCCTGTATTTAAGTAAAACAAGTTACATTTTTCATGCTTACTATCAGAAATCTTCTAACAGTACAAACTTTTACAATAAGCATGTCAAATAAATGTTTGGCTCATACTTTGAGATACTCCCAATGTGGATCCCACTTGTGTGTGTCTCTGTACCCCAGAATAAGAGTTCATAGTTTTTTCTCTAGAAGTGAAAACACAAGTGTTTTGCATGCACGATGTGTGTTCTCAGAAGCCAGCCCATCTCATGGATATAATGGGAATGGTAACCCCAAATGCCACTCAGTACCTTTGAATCGCTTTAGGCAGTAAGTAACTCTAAACAAAATTGTCTTTTTTTGTAATTTTTGTTACTTAGTACAGGTTGAACCTCTCTAATCAGGCACTCTCTAGTCCAGCAACATCTGTGGTCCAGCGTGATTTTAGTTAGCCAGATGTCCACTTATTATGGGAGTAGCCAAGTTATCAAGTGGTCCCATAAAGTTTGTTTACAGCCACCAGTCCTGATTCTCAGTGTTTGGTGCTATTTTTTAGCTCTAATTTATCCCTAAATATCTTCTAAGAGCCTAATAAGCAGTGGAAGTGTTGGTAATGATGCTACACGATATTAACCTCTGTCATTTAGCAAATTCTCTGGTTGAGCACCAGTCAGTTCTTGAGGGAGCTGGACTAGAGAGGTTCAACCTGTAGAATAGAAGTTTATAATTAATTTGTGTATAGTTAGTTGTAGTTGTTACTGTTTCATTTAATAGTTGGCAGAAGACAAAGAGAGCAGATTGGAACAGGGGTTAGTTATGTCAGAACATAGATTTTCTTCCATTTTCAACTCATATCCCTCCTGTGAATGCAAATGGAATCGGAATTCTCAGTGCTGCACCAGAATAAAGAGCCAGCACAGAGATCTGCTTTGATAACAAGGGCTCAAGTGCATAGCAGTGCAAAGATGTTTTTATAACATCACAGCAAGGCACCAGATTTACCAGCACTGTGTATCCAACACTGCAGCAATGAGTATTGCGTACTCCGGTGCCACCTTTCCTGGTTCCATTGTCACAAGTACAGCCTGTTGTGGGGCATTGGGTCTTGAGAGAATTAAAATAGAAATTTAGCAGGACAAATGGCCTAGCAGGCCCTTAAAGAAGCACAAACCAGTGGCCAGAGTCATGCTGCCACCTGTGATACATGGCAGTGTGGCCCAGTGCCTAAGGTCAGTAGAACATTCTTGCTTTGTAGTTTGGCCCTATGGGCATCAACTGCCCTGCTGACAGGCAGCTGGGGAAGCAGGCCCCCAGGCCTACCCTCTCCACTTAGTTCCGACCAAGGGCCATAAGAAATTGGTGTTTCTTCTTTAAGACATCCCCGTGGATGCTCCATTCTTGGTCTTGGTGCCATCCTAGCACCTGGATCAGAGATTTTGCAGCAGTCCCTGCCAGGCCGCACATGAGCGGCACAACCAGCACATTCCATGCTAGTCAGCACTGCACATGCGAAGCCCACACCATCCAGTTCCTTCTCAACCACCCTTGGCCTGAGATGGACCTCTGAAGTTCTCTGCCTTATTTACACTTTACATTGTTTATTAGCTATTAATTCCTAGTTTAGGTAGCTAGTGTTGTTTACAGTTTGTTATTTTGTTATAGTTTAAAAAACATTTTTTTCATTATGCCCGGCTCCCCGGGCTTCAAAAGCTGCACCTCCTGTAGAGACACAATACCTATCTCAGATGGACATTCACAATACATCACATGTCTGGGAGAACATCATTTTTCTCAAGACTGTCCTCACTGCGCCAAACTTAAGGCCAGAGCTCATAGGGACAGGGACCTTCTCCTCAAACTAATCCTTATGTAAAAGAAGATGCACCCGGCTTCGGCTCTAGGAAGGCAGCCTAGGGAGGTGCATTCACCCTCTGACTCCCTTCAGAGCAAGAAGGTTCCCAAAAAAAGGAGCTCCTCTGTGCCCCACCAACAGTCCTCCTCAAGGAAATGGTCTCCACCCAAACCATCAGTGCAAAGGCCTCGCGTCAGTACATAAGACGTCCTGGGCACCTCAGGTGTCCAGGCACTGTCGCACACCGCTGCACCAATGGCAAAGGTCTCAGTCATCACCCCAAGACCGCACCGCCAACTAAGGCACCACCAGTCCCAACAACTTTTATTGGTACCAACCACTACAGCACTGATGCCACTAACGGTACCAAGCTCTATGGTACCGATCATTTCCACTGCACCGATGATGCTTTTTCATTCGTCGGCACCTATCAGATTATTGGCACTGCTTATGTACTCAGTACCACCAACATACCAAAGATCTTTGTAATCGATGCCGAACACTTCATTGGTACCATACAGACCTACATTACAAACACCAGCACAGATCCTTGCGGAACCGTTGCCATACATGCGGAGTGCTGACTTGGCAGTCACATCTTCCTCTCAATCACCGCTCTTACGACTTCACAAGCTGTATCTCCAGTACTGTCGCAGTTCTCCAGCAACTATGAGGAAGAGGCACAAGCCTCTTTCTCGTCACACTGCAGCCCTCCAATGCAATATTACAAGCCCCAATACGACCCAAGGGTGATTCCTCCTTGGTATGGGCACCACTGGAGTCCTTGGGGCTCATACAAGAGACATCACAAACACACTGCTTCTCTTACATCTAGAACATCCACATCTATGCAACAATTGGAGGTGCCTCAAGCAATGGAGTCACCCCCCTGATTCTTCACCACCCACCAACTCCTCTTCATTATCAGACAAGGAGATTATGCTATTGCCATCATCAGCCGCAGATGACTTCAAGCATTTTAACAATCTTTTTTAAGAGAGCTGTGGCTGTGCTCAAAATTGCCACAGAGGAGGTCGCCCAACCCCACCATGAGCACACTGAAATACTCAGTGATATACTCTCACGCGATTATGCAAATGAAGCACGAGATTTGTAAATCCGCGCTTCATTTACATTCCTCTTTTGAAAGAGGAATGCAGTTTAGACATAGCCTGGTTGTATATATTAGTATGTTTAGGAATATAGGTTCTTCTCCTTCTCTTCCTCCTCCTTAACCTCCTCCATCATCATCAAGAAAGAAATCTAGATATCAGAAGTCAATTCCACTATCCTCTTCTGCATTTTGCACAATTGGGTCAAACTTGATGTGACAGCTAAGACTCTTAGACTAATTTACAAGGATCTATACCTTTTTGCCCACCTCTTGGTTCTGACCTACTTTATTTTCAGGAGGCTTGTATGACCATAACTACAGATTGATGGGTCCTTCAAATCAGGAAGAACAGTTATCCCATTTAGACTGTCTATACTTGCACTTGTTCAACTAAACTTTTGTCTTTCATGGGTGCTTAACCCTCTCCCTTTCCCCGTCAGCGACAGTTTTGTCACAAGTGCACGTGATTGCTGCTTTTTAGGCAGAAGCGCTTCTGCTGACAAAAGGAAAGCCACTCATTGGAGGTGGAAGTATTTTGTTGACACAAGTGCTGACAGTGTTCACACATACTGACTTTTAGCAACAGGTCTGTGTTAACACATCTTTGTTGTTAAAAGCTATGTAGTGTAGACATGCCCTCAGTTTCAGTCTCTGCCTCTCACCCACATCCCTTTTCAGTCCCCTTTCAGGGACCATTCTCATATGAGAGCTATGTATCATGAGGTTGATTAGATCATCTTTCTAGAAGCACTAGGGCTTGGTTCCTCAAAAGTTTAGCTCTCCTAGATTTGGTAGCAGCAGGAGCATTGTTCACATCGAATAAATTTCAGATAATAAAGAATCTGATCCTCCAGTTTTGTTTGTCTTCAAATGGTC